ACACTGAGCTGTGAACATATAACACTGTGCAGACTGCAAATTCTACTGCAACATTCTGCTGCAGTAGAATTCACTATTTGATATAACACTAACATTCCTGACAATAGACCTCAATAGTCATCTTTTATGGTGTACATGCCTTTTTAATAACCTTTTTGAATGGAACATTCATAAATCAAAATAAATATTACTTAAATATACATGACCACTTAAATGAAAATAAAATCAACATTAACACCAATATTGTCATTTATAAAAATGCTATCACAAAAAAAAAATATAAGCAGCAGATTTTTTAATTTAATATACATACCAACTACAAAATAAGCGGGTATTAAAGTGTAAATGGACAACAAAACGGAAGTGAAAAGGCCTGATGGTGGTGTTAAATCAGAGCAAAACTGGGTGACATACTGTCACTCTCTCTTGTCTTTCTCTCCTTTCTTTTCTTTTTTGAAAGCCTGACTTTCTTAGTCGTTGAGACATCGTACACACGTAAGTACTCGCATCCCTGCCTCACATGCTCTCACTCTGCTAGAAAGAGCGGTGCCGCACAGCGTTTGGAGACAGGACCAAACCATTACATGTAAATAGAGGGGGGTATACAGAGGCTTTGGATAATTAACTTTTCGAACAAAAAAAGTGAAATGAATCGTAAGTTTAGTGAGTATATTATAAATATAATGTTATATTAATGTTAATTATTGATGAAAGGTTACTTAAACATTTTTTCTTAATGTTCTACACTTTTTGGGGCCCCTGTCAGTCACGGGCCCTTAGAAGCGTCCTAACTTTTCACCCCCTTACGGCGCCCCTGGCTGCAGGTAGCCACAGTCTTTTTTAAGTGTTGTTTATATTTCACATATTTAATCCAAACCTAGAAAATAACTAAATATTTGAAATAAATGTAGTGGAGTCAAAGTGCACAGATCTCTCATGGGTCGCAGTATTACACATTTACGAGTGTCACCCAAAGGCAACACTAGAAGCACATTACGAGGATCATTGAATGCACCAGGTTCATCCCTGTTAACGCCTCTTATGAAGCGCTAGATCTGCACAGATCTGGATGGGTATGAACTGCATAGACGTGAATACAGCTGCCATATTGCTTTCACCACTAACATCGGTTAAATAACTCCTGCTCGCTACTGTACCCCTGGAGAGAAGGTTAGCTATCAGCTAGCCGCGTAACCTAGTTCATAACAGCGTTACATCACTTTGGGTCGTGTCCCACCTGGGAAACTGCGGCCTAGAGGAGCAAAAGCTTAGCATTTTAATGCGATACTGTGACATTACTACGACACAACAACAACAACACAAAAACAAAGGACAAACGCTGAGGTGACTTTGCACATTTGTTTTTGTTTTCCGAAGGGGACTGGTTTCATCGTGCCCTGTGAGTAAAACAAGCTAGTTATATGTTGCTTTCACCTTTAGCTGGAGTAATGTCAGAATATATCTAGATATTTAACTAACAACAGTCCTGACAACTAGCTTGTTTCAGGGTAAAGTCAGTCAGATTATTCACTGCGCAGTGTTGACTGTCTGTCCAAACAGGGGGGTTTCAGCAGGGAGTGCAGGCTTGGGCCTAGCTTAAGTAGCTAACGTGTATTTATAGAAAGCAGCTAGCTACATTGTTTGTTTGGGCATGTCCTGCTACGGGTAGATATCAGGAGGTCGTAAAAGCCCAACCAATAGTTACACTTAAAAAAGATTATGTTTTACAGTCATAAGCAGGCAAACCACATTCGGCAGCAAATGACCTGCTAATGCTAACAGTGACGTTGAAGTTATGAAATGTTTTAAGGGCTAATCAGCGTCTCTTTCTCACTACACTGTGTTAACTTTGTGTTTATTTTCAGTATTTTTAGCCAAAAAAGGAGTCATGTCCTGTCCATGCACTTCGGCTGCCAGGTTGTTCCTTAACACAGCCCACCGAGGTAAGAAAAGTGACACATTGTACAGTAAAGCTGCATGACATTGTGCTACAGTTTGTGAAGTGGGTCTGCAGATAACCCACACCGCTGTTCGTCATGTAATATGTCAACAGCAGGTGGAAAAGTTTCTTAGAGTGTAGCTGTGGGGCAGCTGAAGTTCTTACATCAGCCATCCTTTTCATTAAGTTCTACAGCTGTAATTGGCCTTCTGGTGTATTGACACATTAAAAAACAGTAATCAGTACATGTATAGTTATGTCGCAATAGCTAAGCTAAATCGTTACAGCAACTTGATACTGTCCCACTTGCATAACGGATACATAATGTACAATAGCTAGAGCACATGTATAAACTGTGGACTTTATTCCCCTGACTATGAACTGATGATCCTGTTAGTATGCAGTGTGTTCAGCTGAAATATATAAGCATATAACATTACGTAGCTTTTTTTTCACTTATCCAATGTATTGTGAGGTATGTTCACTGCCTGCAGTGGTGCACATAGGGCCATAACTAACAACTATGTTCATTATTAATTAATCTGCAGATAACTTTATTTTTTAATCAAAACATGTATTATTCATATGTATTATTAAGTGTAACAACATGAGGAGAAAAGGCCATCTGAGCTCAAAGTTACATTTTCAGATTTATAATGTCCTTGGAGAAACTGGAATTTTTCTAAATGTTTGGTTATAAAATAAGTGGAATTATTAATTTGTTAATTTGAATTCAATTTCTCACTTTAGGACTATTAACACGATAAAAGTACAAAGATATTCTTAATTTAGTTTGTTGCCCTATTATTATGCATGGTAATATGTTTTGTATAGGCAAACAAAATAACTGTAATAGAAAACGTATGTTTGCATTGGAAATCAATAGGGATGTTGCTGTTGTGTTTACAGGATTGTCCTGCTCCCGCATCCAGTTGTTTTCTCTGAGTCGTCATGGGTCTCGGGAAACTCACCTCTCTCCCCGGGTCAGGGTGAGGTCGTTCTCAGAGACTGCGGTCTGCTATGCCGCTAAAGATGGGACAACAAAGGACAGTGGAAGTGATGGTGGAAAGGTAAGCTCTTGGAAGATACATGTACTTGTAGCTCTGTTCCATGGGAGTATTAACACACAATGTTATACATGGAACAGATACTAATAATACAATGACACATGTGCTGACACAGTCTCTTTCTACACAGAAAAGCGTCAGTGAGGGGAAAAGACTCTCTGGCTCTGGTGGTTCAGGAAAGGGAGGAAGCCAGCTACGCTGCCCTAAATGTGGAGACCCCTGCACACATGTGGAGACCTTTGTGTGTGAGTTACCTTCTTAATATCAGACAAGCATTTACCAAGACAGGTAGGAGTAGGATACAGTGGGAGATGGTTGATGCAGTCACTGAATAAACAGAGATAAAAGTATAGCATAGTGCCTCGTCAGATATACAAATGTTTTATCCAGGATTTAAAAAAAAATGTTCTGTGTTACAAAGTGTGAT